GTCCTGTTTTTTCGTCAAAATATTGGCTCGGAAATGGTCCGGTAACTCTCTAATAGTCCTTCGTCCCAGACGCGTACTCACGGTCTCAGCGGCCTCGAGCCGCCTCGGCCTTTCCTTCCCAGCCAGTGTGCCATTGTTTACCAGTGAGTGACGGTCCCCTCACATGCTCCAGTGAAATATTTCATAATATTTCATTTATTTTAGTGATTGCAAGTTATTTAATTGCTAAATAAGCTACCATGGCTCCAAAGAAAGCTCCTAGTGCCAAGCCTTTGGTAAAGAAGGTGAGAAATACGATTGAATTTAAGAAAAACATCATTGAACAATATGATAGTGCCGTACGTGTGGGCGAACTGGCCAGGATGTATAACAAATCCCGTACAACCATATCTTCCATCATAGCCAAGAAAAAGGAAATCAAGGACACTGTTGTGGCAAAGGGGGTAAATTTGCTGACAAAAATGAGATCCCCAGTACTCGAAGATGTTGAGAAGTTATTATTGGTGTGGATAAATGAGAAACAATTAGCAGGAGACAGTCTTATGACGTCGCTTACTTGTGAAAAGGCTAGGCAGTTGCATGAAGATTTGGTAAAGAAATTGCCTGCAACTAGTGATGATGCGAGTGAATTTAAGGCTAGCAAAGGCTGGTTTGAGGGATTTAAGAAGCGTACTGGCATACACAGTGTGGTAAGGCATGGTGAGGCTGCCAGTTCGGACCACAAGGCGGCTGAAAAATATGTGCATGAATTCCAGGAGTACATAAACAGTGAACGACTGAAACCTGAACAAGTGTTCAATTGTGACGAAACAGGCCTCTTTTGGAAGAAAATGCCAAAGAGGACCTTCATTACACAAGAGGAAAAGGCAATGCCAGGACACAAGCCTATGAAAGCCAGGCTGACGCTAATGTTCTGTGCTAATGCTAGTGGGGATTTCAAAGTGAAGCCGTTACTAGTGTACCATTCTGAAAATCCCAGAGTGTTCAGGAAAAACAACGTTATGAAGAGTAAATTGTGTGTGTTTTGGAAATCTAATAGTAAGGCATGGGTCACGAGGGAAATTTTTGTAGAGTGGTTCAACGAAGTGTTTGGCCCTAGTGTGAAGAATTACCTCCTGGAAAAGAAATTGGATCTCAAGTGCCTCCTAGTAATGGACAGTGCACCTGCTCATCTTCCAAACTTGGATGACCTAATTCTGAAGGAGTTTGGGTTCATCACAGTAAAGTTCTTGCCCCCGAATACCACTCCTCTCCTCCAACCCATGGACCAGCAGGTCATTGCAAACTTTAAAAAACTCTTCACCAAAGCAATGTTTGAAAGGTGCTTGAATGTGACCTCAGACACTCACTTGACCCTAAGAGATTTTTGGAAAGAACATTTCAGTATTCTCCATTGTGTAAGCCTTATAGGTAAGGCTTCGGAGAGAGTGACTACCAGGACTTTGAACTCTGCTTGGAGAAAATTGTGGCCAGATTGTGTCCACAAGAGGGATTTTGAAGGGTTTGGGGCTGACCCTGATGAGCCTATGTCAGTTGTTAAATCCATTGTGGCACTGGGGCCTTCCATGGGGTTGGATGTGAGTTTGGAGGATGTGGAAGAGTTGGTGGAGGACCACAACAAAGAGCTAACCACTGAGGAGCTGCAAGAGCTTAAGCAGGAACATCAACAGATGGCAGCTCTGAATCTTGCTGCAGAGGAGGAGGAAGAGAGATGGAGGAAGGTGCCTTCTTCAGAAATTAAGGAGATTTTTGAAATGTGGGGTAGGATGGAAAGATTTATGGAGAAACATCACCCAGAGAAGGATGTTGCAAGCCATATTGGCAACTTGTACAGTGACAGAGTCTTGGCCCATTTTAGGGAAGTTTTAAAGAGACGCCAGAAACAGAGCTCTCTGGACAGTTTTTTTGCGAGACAGGACTCCAGTGACTCTCAAGGTGGTCCTAGTGGCATTAAGAAACAGAGAAGAGAAGTAACCCCAGAAAAGCAATTGGTACTCGAGGTGTTGATGGAAGGGGATTCCCCTTCCAAACAGTAATTCATCCAATCAGTCTCATTCTCCAGTCTTCCATACACAAAGAAGAATCACCAATAAAGGTAAGTGTTATTCTGTTAATGTTTAATTCATCATGTGCCACTGTATTGTTTATGTATTACATCTATATTTCATGTAAAAAAAATTTTTCTTTTAATACTTCTGGGTGTCAGGAACGGATTAATTGAACTTACATTATTTCTTATGGGGAAAATTGATTTGTAAATCGTCCATTTCGATAATAGTCCCACTTCCAGGAACGGATTATGAACGATTATTGAGGGACCACTGTATATCATTGCTTAGTTAATTTTAAGCCTGCCCATAATGCTCTGCATACAAGGGGCCTTTGGCATGTTACACTTAACCGCTGTATTTCTTTGTACATCTATGTATCATGTCCAAATTAATAATAAATTAAATTAAATTAAAAAATGATACTTTAATTCAAAGCTAATTTGTACAGATGTAGTGATAGAAGGTCATGTCGATGTTGTTGACACTACGTGTTGTCAAAACTCTGAAACTGTTGTTGAATAGGGGGGGGGTTGTCTTCACTGCTGTTTGTGACATCAGACTGTTTCCACAATACAATTCTGCCAAGGTAAACTTATCCTCTGATCACCACAGTGCTGAAAATGTTGGATAGCCACTCTTATCACCACAGTGTTGAGTAGCCCGACAAGACACACAGATACGCTGGGTGTGTAGCTGGCTAGGATGATCGATTAAGTGTGGAAGAGAGCAGTTGGATCATAGGTATATGCGGCTAGCTCACTAGATCTTTGCCAGATCCCTGCTGTCCTTTTCTTCACCTCGCCCCTGTCAGATGACCCACGCTGACAATTCAAGGCTATAAATAAGAAATAAATAGTTACAACCTGCTCACTAACTCGCTAACATGATGGGCGTACAGCCTTTAACCCTTTCAGGGTCCGTCCCATAGATCTACGGCTTTACGGTGAGTGTCCAAACCGTAGATCTACGCCATGAGCTCAGCTCACTCTGATAAACTGTGAGTGGTACATTTGGGCCTAGATATGAGAGAATACATCTATGTGGTATGTGTGCACCACATAAAACAGATCCTGCAGCACACTGTGTATAATGAGAGAAAAAAACTGAAATCATGATTTTTCGATTAAAACAGCAACTTTGCAGTGTTTTTTCGTATGTTTTTTATAGTTGTATTTGCGATTTCTTGGTCTCATTTGATAGAATGGAAGACATGTTACAGAAATAGAGATGATTTTGATTGGTTTTAGCACTGGAAATGGCTTGAAACTGAGCTCAAAATAGCGGAAATGTTAAATTTTTGCCGATATTCAAGAGTAAACAAACGACCTCACACGTCTAATACACGTCAGCTGGTGTGTCTAATATACATTCACAAATATGGTGATGATATTTATACAATTATTACAGTATTGCATAACAGTAAATCTTCTATTTTTTGGTGTGAATAAAAATTCATTATGTGAATAAAAAATCAAAATGGAATTTATTTGTAAAGCCTCAAAACATAACTAATGAACAGAGGAAATGTTAGTTTAGTGCCAGGAATGCCTACATTGTTTATTCTGGAGCCTATTTTGAAATTGGAATATTTTGAACTTTGTGTTAAATTGGCCAAATTAACAATTTCCGATCACTTTATTTTGTAGTTGAAACAGTTGACTTGGCGATTTCTTGTGCTCAATCGATAGAATAGAAGTAATACTAGTGAAGTAGCTAAGAATTTGGTTGATTGGAATAATGTAATTGGCCTAAAATGGGAGTCAAAGTCGGCAAAATCGCCGATTTGTAAATATCGCTGACACGTCAAAATTCGCGAGAGCATAATTTCGTCAATTTTCCACCAAATTTCGTACTTTTTGTTTTATTACCTTCACAAAAAGATTCTCTACGATTTCATAAGAAAAAATAACAAATTTTTTTTTTGAAAATTCTTGGACACTGGTGCGTGACTCCAGATTTGGGCCTTGGACCCTGAAAGGGTTAAAAGAAATGGCGAGGATTAAAAAGTGATATTAAATTTTAAGCAACGCAGGAATAAACACAAGTGTACAGCCCTAAGTAAGAGTGAAGCTCTTAAGACAACCAAAGAAAAAGATACATAGTACAGGAGTGGAATGCATACTTACAGGTTTGATGGAAGCAGCTGGTCAAGTGATTTCTCCATTGGTTGGAGATTCATACATCACCTCCCACCAGGTGAAAAGAGGGGGGGGGGGAGGAATAGCAGGAGCTAGACACACCACGTGCCTTAACTAGCAGACTGCCAACAAACAACCATCACCATGCATTTATAATTTCCATATTCCTATATTGAACTTTTCCCTCACATGGCCGTCATTGAAAGTTTGAAGCCAGTTGGATGAAGCCATCTTTAGTTATGAGCAAAATAAAATAGAAAAGTTAGGGAAAGGAAAAAAAAAAATTGGCAACCTCTCCTTTGTCCCACTTTGGGAATACGTACTTAATTAAGCTTGATAAAGTGATCACTAGATTGTTTGTGTGTATGTTATTATACCATTGATGTACTGATGCATGACAACAACATGGAATCTTGGCACATAGAATATCTGTTGTCCACCTTATGGGCAAGACCTACTTTTCTCAGTGAGCCCTGGCCTCATGTGTCCATGTCTAACTGCTGCAATGTCCATGTCTAACTACTGCAACTCTATTGCTGAATTTGCGACCCACTCACATGTGATGATATCATCAACTACTGCACTTTCCTTCTAGATCCAATTTATAATTCTTCATCCTCATGCCTTTTTATTAGACTGATAAAGCCTTCTGTGCAGGTAAAATAAGTACCTTTCAGTAAAGATATCCAGGTCTTACACATGTATCTTGCTCATCAACTTTGTAAAATAACTTGTGCCCTGTATGTATTACTCCTAATTTATTGAATTATGAAAATTAATTTGCATGTTCAATTTTTTCATCTCTCTGCAGCTAAACAGCATCCGTCGGTGTGGACACACTGGGTCATTCTTCTTTCTTGGACTGGGACGATCAGCTGTCACTGGTGCTGGGGATATCTGGATGCTGACAGAGGATGCTGTTATTGCTGAAAATATGCACAGCATTATAAAAACGTAAGGCATCCTTTTATATTTGAGTATTAATTAACCCTTTGACTATTGAGACCCCAGATCCTGAAGTGTGTCTCTGTGTCGCAAAATATTAAAAAAAAATAATATTTTTTCTTATGAAATGATAGAGAATCTTTTCCTGGTGGTAATGACACCAAAAGTATGAAATTTGATGGGAAACTTAGGGAATTACACTCTCTCTTAGTGAGCGATCTCGGTGATATATATGCATCGGTGATTTCTCCCACTTTGAGCCCTATTTTTGGCCAGTTCCATTGTTCCAGTCAATCAAACTCATAGCTATTTCTTTAGAACTCCATTTGTTTTATCGATTGAGTACAAGAAACCGCCCATTTTCCAATTTCAACTACCCAATAAAGTGGTCAGAAATTGGCAATTTGGCCAGTTTCACACAAATTAAAGAAGATGCCAATTTCAAAATAGGGTTGAGAATAATGCAGACATTCCTGGCACTAAAATAACATTTTCTCTGCTCATCAGTCATGTCTCCAGGCCCCTCTTATATTACTCTTGCTTCCTATTTTGAATTTTTATTCACACAAAATATAGAAAATTTACTGTCATGCAGACTACTGCATTATTGTAACAATTGTATAAATAACGTCAACCCATTTGTGACTGTGAATTAGACTGGCCAGTTGGACACGTATTGGACGGTGATGTCATTTGTTTACTTTTGGACATTGGGAAAAATCAAACATTTTCTCTATTTTGAGCTTAGATTCGTTTAATAGCCGAGAGGGCAGGTGACCCCCTTCAGTTGGGATCTGTAACTCTCTCTTTTGCTAAAAGATAACAAAAGGGAGAATGGGTTAGGGCCGTCTCTGGCTTGCCAATTAGTGAGATGAGGATCAAATTTCTTGTGGCTTGTCAGCCTATCTCAGCAGTTTTTTGGACCAGAGCAATACTGTATCAACACTTCCCATAGCATGGGTGCCAGTAGCTTCTGTTAGCCCCATGCGATAATTTTTATAATCATGTTTGCCCTAGGAATACTTTTATCTAAAGACTTCATAAAATTAGGTATACTTAAATTCTTACTCTTACATCAATTATCTCCCCAATGCATCCCAACTCCTTAAGCCAGTTCTGTTCACAGATGACACTACTTATGTCTACTCCCACACAAACCCAGCTATTTAGAAACACTGTAAGCAGCGAGCTGCTAAAAATGTATACTTGGATGATGACCAACAAATTCACTCTTATCATAGACAAAACATACTTCATGCTGTTTGGAAATGGAGCCTTAAATATCCAACTTAATATATTGATATTTTTTTTTTTTTCAACAAACCAGCCATATCCCACCAAGGCAGGGTGGCCCAAAAAGAAAAACGAAAGTTTCTCTTTTTAAATTTAGTAATTTATACAGGAGAAAGGGTTACTAGTCCCTTGCTTCCGGCATTTTAGTCGCCTCTTACAACACGCATGGCTTACGGAGGAAGAATTCTGTTCCACTTACCCATGGAGATAAGAGGAAATAAACAAGAACAAGAACTAGAAAGAAAATAGAAGAAAACCCAGAAGGGTGTGTATATATATGCTTGTACATGTATGTGTAGTGTGACCTAAGTGTAATTAGAAGTAGCAAGATGTACCTGAAATCTTGCATGTATATGAGACAGAAAAAAAAGACACCAGCAATCCTACCATCATGTAAAACAATTACAGGTTTCCGTTTTACACTCACTTGGCAGGACGGTAGTACCTCCCTGGGCAGTTGCTGTCTACCAACCTACTACCTAGATTTTTATTATTATTATTATTATTATTATTATTATTATTATTATTATTATTATTATTATTATTATTATTATTATTATTACAGGTCAGCCATCACTAATTGGGACCTGTAGTGTGCTGGATTACAGAGTGGTTAGGTTAGAATACACTTAATTAACCTATCAATAGAGACTCTGCTACATCTTCCTCATTTTCATCACTGCTTTCTCCTCCACTGGCTTGCTGCTGTGGATTTATAACCATCTGCACAATTTCTAAGTCAGTATAATGATGAAATTTGAGTCAGTATAATGATGAAATTTGAAATTATGCTGGGCGAAATTAGTGCCGGATTACTGATGGAACTGGATAACTGATTGCTGGATTAGTGATGGATGACCTGTATTACAATAATTATTATTATTGGGTAGACTTCAGGCTGTACATGTTTTTAGAGGGGCTACAGATATGTCAGATCACTTTTTGGTTATAGCTATAATGAGAGTAGGTAGATGGGATACAGTAGGGTCCCACTTATATAAGAACATAAGAACATAAGAACGAAGGAACACTGCAGAAGGCCTACTGGCCCATGCGAGGCAGGTCCAAGTCTCCTACCAGCTTAAGCCAATGCACCCAACCTAGTCAGGTCAGGTCACATTGACTTAAGGGAGGAACACGCAACCGACCAGTAGCACAACTATCAGACTAACTCACACCCACCCACATCTACTCAAGTAATTTACCAACCTATTTTTAAAAGCTACACAACGTTCTGTGCCTCTAAAAACGGGGTAACCTTGGTAAGTTTGTATCCACTCATCCACAAACTCTAATTACCAAACGTACGTTCTCTATACCCTTCCTAATCGATTTTTCCAACTTAAAACCATTGCTGCGATCCTGTCTAGGCTAGATATTTATTCAGCACACTATTTACATCCCCTTTATTTATTCCAGTTTCCATTTATACACCTCAATCATATCCCCCCCTAATTCTATGTCTTTCTAGAGAGTGCCAGTTTTCATCAGCCCTCAGGCTATCCTCTAGTGAAGGTTTTCTGATACATGGATCAACTTTGTCATCCTCCTTTGTACATTTTCCAGAGTAATTTATACCAATCTGTAATACGGTGACCAAACTGTGCAGATAATCAAAATGATAGTGCCTAAACCAAGGATGTATAGAGTTGAAGAACAACCTGAGGCTCCAATTAATTATGCTTCTGATATGAAGCCAAGGATTTATTACTTTTTTATTGTGAAAGAAGAGAACACTTATGCACTGTTGTCTTGGTTTCAGATTACAGCTAACCAGAACACCTAAACATTTTATTCAGCAATCCGGTAATATTAAGATCTACATTATTTAAGTTTAAATGTTTGGCAATGGTTATTGACCCTGTCCCAACATTAAGAACTTTTGCATTAGTCTATATTAAACTGCATCTGCCTCTTCTCCGACCACAGCCCAAAATCAGATCTTATTCCAATCTTCCTGGAGTTCTCTCGAATGTCCTCGTCAGAATGAATTCGACGGCCTATTTGGTGTCACGGCAAACTTGCCCGATGTCGCTCTTTATGCCCTCAACTATGTCGTTTAATGTAGAATGTGAACCAGCAAGGGGCCCAACACTGACCCCTGTGGAACAACCGCGTCGTGATGCTTCCCCCACTCTGATTTCCCCCATTTATGGAACTCCTCTGCTGCCTATTTGACAACCATGATGCCTCTATCCGGAAAAAATTTCTCCTCCTATTCCCATGTTCTATTAATTTTACCCCTCAATATTCTCTGAGTTGGACCCTGTCAAAAGCCTTACGAAGTCCATAATAACACAATAACATATTCATAACCAAAGATCTACCTCCACCAATACCTTAAGTGAACAAAGTTAATAAATTCGTAAAGCAGGAACGCCCCTTTGTAAAACCCATTGGCTGAGATTCGTTATTAAATTTATGCTTTTCAAGTGGCTACGAACTGCCTCGCAATTATTGATTCCATATAATTTTCCCACTAAGGAGGTTATGCCCTATTGGTCTATAGCTCGAAGCAAAGGGACCTGTCACGCTGTTTTGAAAATAGGTATCAATTGGATGCCTAAGTTTCCACTAATCTGGCACCATGCCAGTTTGTAGTATAGTTGAAAAGATTAGGGCCAAAGGTGTCTAAGCTCCACTTTACCATTTCCTTTTAGAACCCATGATACAGTACATCAGGGGGGGCTGGGGATTTGTTAGATTTAATTTATCTATTTGCCTAAGGACCAATTCACTTGTGACCCTAATAGAGCACAGTTTATTATCGTCCTGTTCTACATCAATTTTTCAATTACTGCATAATCGCTGGTATCCTCCATTGATAACAACTGAGAGAAGTATGAGGTTAAAAATTCTACACTTTTCCTTATACTGTCAGTGAGCTGACCCGAGGAACATTTGAGTGGCCTATTCATGTCCCTGATCTTACTTTCTGTATACCTGAAAGAATCCTTTTGGGTTAGTCTTCGATTCTCTTGCAACTTTAACCTCAAAATTTCTTTTTGCTTTTCTAATTCCCTTTTTTATTTCTCTCTTTAACTGAATATCGATTTCTCAATTGCCCCTCTCCTCTTTTGATTTGCCTATATATGCCTCTCTTGACCAATCAGATATTTTAATCTATTGTTCATCCATTAGGATAATTTTTGTTTGATCTGATTTCCCTATTTGGAACAAATTTGACTGAGCAGCTAGAACTATGCCCTGGGAAAGCATCATAAACGGCAACCATCACCACCTACCTGACCCCTTTGTCAGGTCATTCCAGTTCAGCCCACCTAAGTAATTTTTCAGTTTCCCATGAAATCAGCCAAGCGAAAGTCAGGGACGGAGACTTGATTGCCATTATTAGGGGAATTTCCCTGATATATTAAAACTGAGTGATTTGTGATCACTTTCCCCAAGCTCATCATTAACCTCAAGATTATTATTAGTGTTTCCCTACTGGCAAGAACCAAGTCAAGGAGGTTATTTCCCCTATTGGCTCTGTCACAAACTGTTTTTAAAAAAAAAAATCCTGGATCGTCAAAAAGTCACCTGACTCTAAATTTCCTGTCAAAATTTCTCCAGTCAATCTGTCTATAGTTGAAATCTCCCATTAGCACAACATTTTTTGTATGTAGATGCCTTACGAATTTCGTCCCATAGAAGTTTACTGCACTCCCTATCAAGATTTGGGGCCCTGTAAATCCACCCAAAATTAGTTTTTTTCG